CTTGGGGAGGTGCTTCATACGAAACAAAATGCAAAAATCATGGGGGCATGAAATGAGAAAAACTTAGTAAGGTTACATGTGAGCCTAGCATCCATGCAAAGGAAGAACTCTAAGATGTGTATAAGCCAGTGGACCATTAGTTGGGCAATATCTCTCCTAATCACTGTTTTATGGCCAAAAGACACTCAATCTTTTCATGCATGTGCACACTAATGTAAAGGATTTTAGTTATGCGAACAATCTTTCACTCTCTAGGGCAGTGGTTCTCAACCTGTGGGTCACAGCCCCTTTGGGGGTCGAACAACCCTTGCACAAGGGTCGCCTGATTCATAATATCAGCAAAATTACAGTTATGAAGTATCAATGAAAATAATTTTATGGTTAGGGGGGTCACCACAACATGAAGAACTGTATTAAAGAGTCACGGCATTAGGAAGGTTGAGAACCACTCCACTAGGGTATAATCTTTGTTACTTATTAATCTAAAAACTTAGAACCAATAACATTAAGCAGTTAAAATAGCCAACATATTTGTTAATTAATTCAACAAATATTTATTGATGTCAAGTTTATGCAAGGTACTATTTTAAGTATTGAGGGCTGCAAGAGGACAGAAGGAAAAAAGACAAAAATCCTTGCCAGAATTATGTTTTTATTCCTACTAAGATGCTTACATGTAGCAGGTACAGTGCTTAATACATTGTTGTTGTTGTGATCCATAGGGTTTTCATTTACTAATTTTAGAAGTATTTAGCATCATAGCAACATGTAAGCCTCCCACTGATAGACAGGCAGTGGCTGCACATTATAGTGCATTAGCCAGGACTTGAACCCAGGTCTCCTGCATAGAAGGCAAGAATTCTACCAGTTAGGCTAGAAACCAAGTCACCTAGTTCCAAATTTATTGCAATTCCACTTTGTCCATCGTTAATGGTAAATCAAAGTCATATCCCCTGTCCTTGTAAAGCTCAAACTCTAAGCCTATAAGAATACACATGGAGCACTGTGAAAGAATTTTATAATAGCTAGAATGAGGAGTGGAAAGTGGGCACAGGCTAGTCATTGCTGTTGTCAAAAACACAATTGCTTAACATTTTTTATTTTTAGGTCTTCAGATAGTTCTTCATTTGGGGATTGGAGAAACAGGGATTAGTGACAGAGGAAAAGAACCATCTTTAAAAGCGGGCAGAGGAGAAGCTACCTGGGGAAATGGAAAGAAGTCATAAAGCTGGCGATGTCCTAGATCCTAAATTGGGTGGCACAGTCACGTTACTGTTTTATTTTCACATATATTTTGTACATATCAAGTATCACATGATAAAAATGGACACAGGGAAACAGATTTTTTCTTTTAAAAATCATTTTATTGGGGGCTTACAGCTCTTATAACATTCCATACATCAATTGTATCAAGCATAGTTGTACTGTACATAGGTTGCCATTATCATTTTCTAGACATTTACTTTCTTTTTGAGCCATTGGTATCAGCTCCTCACTCAGGACCCCTGGATAAATTATAAATAATTGCTATTTTCATATTTTACACTGTCCTCTGTTTCCCTTCACCCACATTTCTGTTGTTCATCCCTGGAGGTGAGGGTGGGGTGGTTATGTGTCAATCATTGTGATTGGTTCCCCCTTCCTTCCCCCACCTTCGACCTACCCTCCTGGTATTGCTACTCCCATTTCTGTTCCTGAGGGATTTATCTGACCTGGATTCCATGTGTTCTGAACTTTTATCCGTACCAGTGTACATGCTCCGGTCTAGGCCGAACTGAAAGGCAGGACTGGGTCATGATAGTGGGGGGTGAGGAAGCCTCAAAGAACCAGAATAATATTGTGTTTCATCAGTGCTATACTGTGCTCTGGTTGACTTATCCCTGCCTTGTGACCCTTCTGTGAGAGGAGGTCCTATTGTCTACAAATGGGTTTTGCCTCTCTGCTCCAATCCCCCTCATTCTCAACAATATGAGGGAAACTGATTCTGTTATCAATAGATGCAACCATGGAAAGACAGAAAATTTAGTGCATTAATGAATGAAAAAGTGAGTTGATGTTAATGAAAGTGATTTAATGAATGATATGACCCAAAGGAGATGACGTCTTTAACAGAAAAATTGAAATAATAAAATACTCTCTTTACCTTATCCCTACCTCACATAATTGACCTCAAAAGTCACTGCATAGAGAGATGACGGTCAGGAAATGAATAGCATGAAGAGTGCTGTTCCCTGAATAAAATGTGATCTGCTGCATGTCTGATCTGGGTACTTTGGGGAGGGTCAAGTAGAGCAGTCATTTTTCTGCACTCCATTCTCCCACCTCAATTGTCATTTCTTTGGGCACCACTGGGTGGGGGGAAGAGTGTGTGTAAGGGTGAGGGAATGCTGAGAGTGGGGGAAGGCAAGCTTTATTGCTTCACATTAGCTGGTAGATTTCATCTTTTGGTTTCTCCATGCAGGTTACCTATTCATTCAACCTGCCTATTATGGTCAGGATAGGGGCCCTGGTGACCTAGTGGTAACAAGTTGGGCTGTGTGGTAGTCAGATAATTTGTGTCAACTTGACACTCCTGGTTAGAGGTGGAGTCAAACCTATCAATCAGGTCATAGCCTAATGGTGCTTCCTTAGGGATGTGATCTTCTCATAAAGATGACGCTGGGAGGAAAAAGGGCCCCCTTCCTGTCTCTCCCGCTTCACCTTCCTGCTTGCTCGCCACCCTGAGAGCTGCCAAGCCCTGACGTGTTTCCACCCACACTGGATCCACATGACTCTGCACCCACCATCCGGTGATCTTCCTGCATTCGGAACCATTGATTGCATGGGTGAGTGTGAAGAGGGACTTGTGAACTATTATCAGACTTAATAGATTTGAGTTGGACTGGGCTGGGATGCTTTCTTGATATATAATTACTTCTTGATATGCAGCTCTTTCTTATACATGAGTGTCACTGGATTTGTTTTGCTAGTCAACCCCAGCTAACGTAGGCTGCTAACCAGATTTTAACATTGGTAAAGCAGGACACCATTGATAAAACTCATATCCTGGTGAAATAGCCACATGGCAGCCGAAAACCGTATACCCTAGCTTGTTGTGCATTCTTTCCAAAAATCGGGACTTTTTAAAAACGCAGCAGAACGTGGGAAAAATTGTTAAAAATCAGGACTGCCCTGCCAAAAGCGGGACGTCTGGTCACCTTACGGCTAACCGCAAGGTCAGAAGTTTGAAACCAATAGCTGCTGCACAGGAGAAAGACAAGGCTTTCTAACTCTACCCTGTCCTACGGGGGAGTTGCTATGAGTCAGAATTGATTCCAAGGACTATGAATTAGGGAAAGAAAGGGGTATGCAAACAACAGGCTGTGACATAAACAGTAGCCCAATGCCAATCACTTCACCCCATTATTATGCATATTTTCTCACCAATGTCTATACCAGAAATCAAAGCCATGCCTAAAATATAGTGAGTCAGTGACAGTTGTTTCTCAGTCTACTCACCACTTAAACTAGTAAAATTTAATTCCCCCAAGGAACGCAGCCTGAAGCAAACCCTCCCCTAGGGCACCAATGAGTGGGCAGCACCGAAGTGTTTTGGATGACTCAGTCACCTGTTTCCAAATACTAGCTAACTAGCTTCTCCCCGTTCCCTCCCAGTCTGCTGCAGTTACTGGAGGTCCCCGAGGCCTTCGTGTGGGCCCATCTGGGCCTACGGCAAACCCACTGATTTCTTCCTTTGCGCGGAACACTCTGCGTCAAAAGGAACACAGTCCAGAAAGGTGGGGAAGGGAGTGAAGCAGGTGGGAGGGAGGAGGTAAAACGAAAGGGGGGAGCTCAGGTCTGGCCCCAGGTCCTTCCCCCATCTTGAAAGCGGATCTTCGTCCAGTAAAGGACACCAGATCTCGGAACCGGCGCACTCTGAGGGGTAAAGGTCTGGCCAAGTTCCCTCGTCGCACTTCTGCGAACCCACAAGACTAAAAGCATTAAGAGCCCAAAGAGCGAGCGCCGCGCGACCAAAGCCAGCCCAGACAGCCTGAGAGACCGGAAGCGGACGGAGGGCAGGGGCGGGGCCACGAGCAACTGACCCCGCCCCCTCCTGCCTGAGCCGGGCGCGGCCGACCGGGACTTCCGGGCGAGGCCGCGCCTCTCCTCCTCTCGGCCGCCGTAGTTTAAAACCAAACAAGCAAAAGTGACGGTTACCCAGCAACGAGAGAAAACAACCGGAACCAGCGGCACCAGCTCGGAGAGAAACCAGAGGTGAGGCGGCTCCCGCAGTGTCTCTCCCAAAGCCAGGCCTGGCCTTTGCCCTCCGCACCCCGTCGTGTGTCAGGGTCCCTACGCGCCGCGGTTCCGAGATCTGTCGAGGTGAGCCGCGTCCGGCCCGCCCGGGCCGCCCCTCGCCTCAGCCGCGAACCGCCCAGGCCGCACCCGTCCTTCTGTTCACAAACCGAGGCGGACTCAGCACCTGTGTGCTTCCCCTCGGAAAGGAAAAGCCACACCTCATTGAGAGTCCCAAAATCAGACGAGTCCTGAACACACACAGTCAGGGGCCTCCCCGGGCTTCTCAGTTACCTTGAACCTGGTCTGCAGATCGCGAGACAGACC